GAAAAACTCTCTTATAGTCTCCTAATATAACATTTCTTCCTGCATGAGCTAGGCACTCTTAGTGGTTTGCCGTTTGGAATGTTCTAATGCCAGTCATGCCTGGGAATAATACTTTTTTGTAGTCATCTTTCAATAACTTTTTTCGGGCTTATGAGGAGGTATTCTTTGAGACATAGACCCTTGCGCGCATAGACACTCTATGAGAAGACGAAATAAGGCAAACTTACATCAGATTCACACCGACTCCAACTGCAGCTGTGATGAGCATGACCTTGCCGTCGATTTCGTATTGTGCGTGCATGATTCGCATAACAGCAAGATAGACGAGAATACCTGTGACCAGCCAAATCATTAGGACTGAGATCAGAGCGCCGACAACCTCTGCGAAGAAAATAGAAATAAAAATGTCACCACAGTGCAGTAACCCTGGTCTTATTTGCGTCGAATACTTCGTAAAAACTGCGATTGTCTTCTGCGTTCTTTTGTCAATACTGTGAATTGAAGAGTTGCATAAGTAACATATACATTTAGGGCTCACTACAGCACCCGACGGAACCGGTGATAGTAGGGATTAAATGGATGGAGAGAAAAAAAACTTAAAAAGAAGAACGTATAAAAGTAGAAAATAATCAGAATACTCAGGTAAATAAACTAATGTTTGATCACTACTCATTTGCATACAGTTTCGACGTTAGTTTCCCAGGTCGCCGTCAGAACAGTTAAACGCTTAAACGTGCCTATAAAAGATCGACAATATCTAGTCATTCATGCCAATATTTGTCTTTGCGGGACGAAATGGAAACACTTCACAGCCTAATTAACCCAACGATACCAAGATCCACCCCGGTGACAGTAGACTCCTGTTCCTTATCCTCCCCGTTCAGCGAAAGACTGACGAGACATTTCACAGATCAATTGAACGCAAAAAGCGTATCCGGATGTTATCCTGTATTAAGGAAGCAACCTTCCTCTCGCTCACAAGTCGAGTACTGTTAACACTGTACTCAATCGAACAAAGTCGCCGAACTATACCAACTCAAACGTAATTAGCTGTCTAAAAAATCTGCCAAAAATGGTTACCCTAGGGAGTTTGTGCGCCGATGCATGCGAAAACAGGAACTAAAACAAAAGGAAAGCGAACAAGATATTCTCGATGGCACGCCCATACCAGAAAGCTGGCGAACACTGTCGTGCACTTAGAACGTGTCCTAATTTGTTGAAAAACACCAGAAACAAAAAATCCCAGTCGCCTATAGACCAACGTTTACACTGCGAAATAAGCTTGTACACCGTAAGGATAGGGTTGACAATTTGGATAGAGAAGTCGCTTAAAAGATTCCCCGTGGCAGTGGTAATGCAATTTGTTGTGGTTAAATAGAAAGTCGGCCTTTGCACATCTACACGAACACCAATTGTCAGAAAAGAAGCGCTAACACTTGTCTCAACTTATTATACTATCATCAAAACTGGGCACTACGTTGCACTGGACCAAACTTGCATTGCTGGCTCCTGCTCATATAGAAAAGCCCGCGAAGATTTAGAAACCATTTACTCCGATGACTCGTCAATTACTCGGCACATCGAATTTGCATGTCTTGTACGGCAGTCACAAAGAAAAATGCAAAAGACGGCAGCCCCTCC